GGGCTGCAGAGGCGAGCTGCTGCTGGGTTCCCTGCCCTCAAGGAACTTGTGGTTGAGAGCAGGAGACAGACAGCTACACCCCCAGGATAGATGGGTGAGGGAATGAAGGTGGCTTTCAAAGACCCAGAAGAGGTCATCGTAAGCTCTAGGGGAGAAGCAGGGGGCGAGACAGAAGGGTGTGTTACTCAGAGAGGACAGTAGATGCCAGGGCACATGCAGGAGCCTGGGGCTGGGTTAGTATGGCCAGGGCAACATAGTGGGGCTGGAGGAATAGGCAGGGCCACGTGATGGAGGGCCTGGCCCATTGAGCCCAAGGACTTGGGCATTATCTGAGGGTAGTGGGGAGTCTTGGGATTGTACTGGGCTGGGATCAGAACTTGGAGAGAAGGCCATGCCTCCTGGCTCCTCGGCTCAGCTTGTGGTTATACCTGGCTCAGCCTAAATAAAGTATGAGCCCATCCTGGGGTCTGGCAGCTTTGGTTGTAGAGAGTTTCTGGCCCTTGGGTTTGGCTACTGAACCAGAGTTTTCACTTGCTGGACTGTGTTCCCAAATTTTCATCCCCCCTCCTTTATGACCTTATGCAGTCTCACTGTCAGGCCTCCTGGCCATCTCCTGGGGACCTTTTCTGTCCACATCTTGCCCAAACCCATGGGGCCTGGTGGACATGTAGGGTGTGAGGCTGGATTTTGCCAGCACAGGACTATAGGAGCTTTCCCTCAAGTTCTTCCCGACAAGCTTGGCTGTGAGAATGCTCAGTGTCCCTCTGGGGAAGCTCCAAATCTACTCAGAAGATGTGTTCTCTCTGGCCCAGCCAGAGAGCAGTGCTCTGAGGGTTTGTGGTAGCACCTTCTGCCTCCAGGTACCCGTGGCCCTACATGCTTTTGAGTTTCTGGAACCACCTTTTTCCTGCTTATCCCACCACTTCAAAACCTGGATGGTTCTTAAAAATCAGGGCCGGGCTGTCACTGGTCACATGGAGAGAGAGACTGAGGCCCACTCTTAATAGGAAACCCAAGCCGAGAGCCCAGGACCAAAGGGGAACATTGCCCGGGGTGTGTGAAGCAGTGCAGTGTGAGCTCTTGAGTCAGGGTGACTCTGAATCCCACTTCTGCCACCGAGAGGCCTGGGAGAGGAGAGGCAGTGTGGTGTCGGAAAGAGCATTTACTCTGGAGCCAGGCCTGGGCCCCTTCTTCCTTGCAGGGCCATCAGGGGCTCACTCCCTAACACCTCTCTGAGCCTTAGGCCTTCCTGTAAGATGGGGATGCTGTGGCCCACCCTCCCGGGGGTGGCTGGGCTGAGACCGCAGTGGAACCATGCATGTGAGGCATTGGCCTGGGAGACGTCTGCTGCTATTGTGATTGTATCTCCTGGAATCCTCCCTATGATTCTGAGAGAGAGATTTTGTCATCCCCATTTTGCAGATGAGGAAACAGGCTCAGAGAGGTGAAGTGAGTTGCCCAAGGTCCCACAGCAAGTAAGTGACAGAGCCAGGATTTAAACCCAGATCGGGGCCTTCTCCATGCCTTTGAGGAGCTCTGGGGGGCTGCCAGTGGTGGTGGTGGTGGGGGCATGCTCAACTACCTCCTGTGCCCTCCTCTTGCAGGTCATCCTCTTTCAGTACTGACGCTGCCGGCACTTCCGCATCTGTCCATGGGCACCACCCAACTGCCCCTCAGCCGCTGAAATCCAGAATTCAGGCTGGGGCCAGGGATCCATTGGCCCCTGCACCCACTCCCATCCTCCAGCCTGCCCGCCACCAGTCCGGCTGCTGGGCCTGGCCTTCCCCTCTCCTGCTGAGAACCAGAACCTGCCAGGAGCACCACAGGGTCCTCCCCTCAGAAGGCAGAGCTCCCTGACGTTTGAAAACAACAGCCTGTTTTCCCCGCTGAAACGGGGAGTCATCTTTGACTTAGAACTGATCACAATAGCGAAAGGCAGAATGGAACTGCGTGACGCAACAGGTTTTCTCCCCGCCCCCACCTCCCATATTGGCCTTTATTTACTACTTCCTTGGAACCATCTCTGGATTCTGAATAGCCAACAACCCCCAATGTCATCCACTCTGTTGCTTTTGTCTGGAAAAGTCTACAATGTTTGTGGGATGTCCCCAAAGGAAAGCTATGTTCTAATTTTATCATTTCCATCTGTCTGGTTATGTCAACTTAATTCAGAGAGAGAAGAGAGACTGACCAACCCTGAGAGGCCCGGTAGGGTAGAGATGGAGGCCTGCCCACACCAGAGGCAGAGGGCTAGGTTGGGGCGGGTAGCCACTGACCCCCACTGGTTTGGAGGTGGAGGAGAGGCACTTGGCACATGGGGCCAGCAAAGGAGCTAGCTGTTCTAAGGAGAGGAAAGAGAAAACTTGGCATGGAATGGGCAGCCCCTAACCCTACTAAGCTGGCCAGCATGGAAACGGGGAACACAGCAGAGATGGGGTTTGGTCTGCGGACACATCTTGGAATGTTTGGGCAGGTTAGAGTTGGGGGCCTCTGTTAGCCACTTGTTGACCCTTGATGGGACTGGGGGCTGGACTGAGTCTTCTCTGAGGGGACAGTGATGACAATTGGGGAACGGAGCCCACTGGTAGGGCGGTCAGCATGCTAATTCTGGGCCCACACTGAGTGTAGAAGGGGTGCCTACTGCCTAGGTGGGCGTTCCCACTGCCCGGAGCCTTCCCTGCCCACTTCCGAGAACCGAGGCCAGAGACAGCTGTGCTCACACCCACCCAGCCCTCTTTCCACCTCACACAAAAGGGCGTGGGCTACACGCGACTGTGGTGTGTGTGTGTGTGTTCAGGGGCTATCCACTTGTCCCGGGGGTTTCCTTTCATTCCAACACCCATTGGAGTCGATGCATTTCCCCCTAGCACAGCGGTTCCCAACTTGTGGGTCGTGATCCCTTTAGGGGGTTGGGGGGCTGAACTACCCTTTCACAGCCGTCGCCCGATTCATAACAGTGCAAAATGACAGTGATGAAGTGGCAACGAAAATAATTTCATGATTGGAGGAACTGTATTCAAGGTTTTCAGCATTAGGAAGGTTGAGAACCACTGCACTAGAGGCTGCGGTGAAGCAGGTTTTAGTCCAAGCCTTCCTTTACGCTGTTGTTAACCTGGTATGCAGCTTCTGGAAGGGGACTCTAGGGCAAGTCCGTGGTTCCTATGCAGCGGCTGACCTCATTTTCACCCAAGCCAGACATCCATCGCTCACCCACGGCAGCCCCGTCTAGTTTACCGAGTAGGGATCAAAAGGTAGAATCCGAATGCTCGAAGTTGGCACTTTGAAGGAAAACCTAGCCACCACTTTTGTGCTGGAACCCGGAGAAGGGCTAGAAAGAACCCTGCTTCCTGCCCCTTCCCAAGACAGCTACCACTGACCCCGGGCAAAGAGGAGCACCGTGCCGTTGTGCTCGAGCACGCCTCCCTCGCGTGGCTCGTGCCTGACCCTGGGCAGGCGCTGATGTCCACAGGCCTGATCCCTGGCCCTGGGAAACTTTTCACTCATCTTCCCTTTGCTGTTCGCTCCTGGTGGTCAGTCCCTGATTGGAATCATGTGGTAAGTGGCCAGCAGAGCCCTGCCAGTACCCACTCTGCCTCGTGTGGCTCACGTGGCTGTAGCATGTTGCAGTTCAAACATGTGTCTGCTACCCTATTAGAGCAGCCTGGGAGCAGACAGATGTCAAGATTATTTATTTAAATGCAAAACAAAAGGGGAAAACACACACATGGAAAAAAATGTAAGCACTTTTTGGGTAAAACCCATGTCTGTTTTGTTACATACCTTTCCTGTCGTGCTTTGTAAATGTCTTATTTGTGTAATAAATAAAGTTAATGCAAGTAGAAGTGCTGGCACTGAGATCCAGAACGTGACGGGATTCCACTTCTTTCCGGCTCTCTGCTTTCAGGCAGGGCAGCACCCTCTTCCTGGAAACTTGGTCCCATTTTCCAGTTTGTCCACTGTGGCTCTGAAGGAATGGTGGCGGTTTCTCCTCTGAGTCCTTGGCCACCACGGCTCGTTGGCCATGTTGTGTAGGCATCAGGCTGCGGCCCTGGGACCCTCCCTCCTGAAGACAAGCTGGGCCCGTGGTGGCTCTGCCCCAGAGGAGCGCCTTAATCTGGTAGGCGTCAAAGACAGACATCCTTCCAACGTGCTATGGGGGCCAGGGGGGGGGGCATTTGAGCTGGGCCCTATCATGGACCATTGTACAGGAGAGAAGGGAGTTGATAGAGGAAGGCGTGGGGGCAGGGAGGAGACAGAGGAGCCTGTTTGGAAGATGGAGAATGGTGTATGATGTGGATGGGAGGGAATGGCAGATGGGAGACAGGGCCGGCCCCAGGGAGGGCCTCACACTTGGCCTGTCAGGATCCAGAGCCACTGCACAATCTGGGGAGCAAAGGCATCGGTTCTGGTGGCCTCCCCACTTCCCCCACTTTTATCAGCAGGTCATTGGTTCAAGTCAGAGCTCCCGGTCAGCTGGCGCTCAGAGCAGCTGAGAACTGAACCGACAGGCACCCCCTGCCATCCAGGGGCACCACACCATCACCCCCGCAGGCCCCTCCTTTCCTTTTGTCTTTATGCCCCCTTCCCAATCCAGTTTCATCCTGGGCAGCATCACCTCTGCAGATCTACTTTTCAAATGCTGACTTAGAGAGATGCACATTATTTGGGGGGCGGGGAGGGGAGGGGGAAGGGGCGGGAAGGCCTAGTATAGTCTTGTTTCTGTATGTGTTTCTTTACATGAATGTGCCTTCTGTTTCCAAAACTGTGAGGACATCACGGATGGAGCCCAAGTATTGCTCTGTGCATGTGACGAGGTGGCTTGTTTCAGGTCCGCTTCCCACCCCCTGGAGCCCTCCCCTGGCTGGCTTACATCCCTGTCTACTCTGGGCAGTTCCGGCAACCTCTGAGGATGCTTGTGCCCCTGCCTGGCACATGCCATCCCTTCCTGTCCTGGCTCTCAGCTGACAAGGGTTACATCTGGGGATGATATGGAGCATCCCCTATTTGCCCAGCCAGCAAATTGCTCTTTGACAGCAAGCACAGATGGAGCACCTGTTACTTACCAGCTGTTTGACCTACATGATCTCATTCCATCCGCACAACAGCCTATGAAACAATAGCAGTGCTACTGTCGTAAGCATCCTTCTACCCATTGTATCGATGAGGAAGCTGAGAAGACTTAGAGATGTGCAGTGACTCGCCCAAGGTTACATGATACTGGTGGCCGAGCTGGGATTTGAAACTAGCGGTGTCTGAGGCCATAGCCATTCTCTCTTTCTCTGGCAACCCACTGAGTCTGCGTCAGGGCAGGAGGCTCAATTAGGGGAGCTGGCAAGAGGAAGAGGCAACCCTGGGGAATTCTTAGGCTGGAATAAGGGACCAGCTGGGAGTTCAGGCACAGTCCTTAGGTCCCACTGCCTTGTGAGACCCAAAGTGGTAGGCGGGCCAGGCCACGTGTTGTAGTGACAGCCAGCCAGCCAGCTGTGTCCTCACAGGGACTTGGGCTCAAGTGCAGGGTGGCCTTGGGGAGATGAGTCACTCAGCCGGTCTCTCTGGACCTCTGAATCCTCATCTGTGAAAAGTGATGCAAAACCCTTCCTTCCTTGCCGGCCAGACCATGCACACACTCCTTCTGCACCCGCCACTCAGGAGATGGATACGGAAGGTGATGGGGGAAAGGAGCTCTGGTGGAAGTGTGGGTTGGGCTGGGCTGCTAACCACCAGGTCAGCAGTTCAAACCTACCCATTGCTCTAAGGCAGAAAGATGAGGCTGTGTGGGCCCATCGAGAAGTACTGTGCTGGAAACCCTCTGAGGCCGTTATGAGTTAGAGTTGGATTCAAGGGCAAGGGGCCTGACTGATGAGCCCTGCGGCCCAGTGAAGGTACAGCTCTGACCTGCTGAAGACATGCAGCAGCTGCTCCCAGGGAGAAAAGGAGAGCAGGCTGCCTCCATCAAGCGTTACAGCCCTGGGTGGAAACCCTGTGGAGCAGGGCCAGTCTGTCCCACCAGGTTGCTCTGCATCCACATCAACCAGACAGCACTGGGATGGGTCTTGCTGGGCTACCGGTGGTGGCTCCCAGCCTTTCATGAGCAGGAGAACGCCTTCCGGTGGGTTCTGATGGAGGTTCAGTGAGGACCCATCCGCCTTTCCCCAAACAGAGGCCACCTGGGCCTCCGGATTGCAGACCGCCTTTATTCTGGAGGCCAAGGGCACTAGGAATGATGCCTGCGCCCTGGGGCCAGCCAGCGCCCTTGGTGCAGACGGAACTCCCTGGTGGTTCCGAGAGCAGGATGTGTGCAGCTCACAGCTTGGGCATGTGCCCTGAGACCTCGTCCCAGCCCTTCCGACAGGTCCGGATGATCCACTCGTGCTCGTCGTCATCTGCAGAGAGAGAGCACGGGACAATTACTGTGGGGACCAGGTTCACTCTGGGCTGGGAAGGAACACCTGGAGCTCTGAAACCAGAGCCCTCAGCGGCCCATCAGCGCCTCGTCTGGTGGGAACTGGACTCAGAGGGGTGAGTCGTCTGCAGTTGCTGCAGATGGGAGGTCAGCGTGGGGGTCACTCA